CTAGCCCCCAAGCCAGGGTCGGCGAAACTAGATTGAGATTCGTTTATGATCTCTTAAGTGTTGGACCTATGAGGAGTTGTAATCTTCATATATGTTTTCTTGCGAGTCTCGACAAACATTGTCAGGTTGATTTCATAGGTCCTTTTAGAGGGTTACACGATTTAAGTGATATGCATTCTTACATTGGTGATACCGCCTTTTCTTGACTTCATATCCTCTAATTTGATGAAGAATATATTGGCTAATTTGTCCTTGACTCTTTGTGTCTCTTAGCATTGTCGCGTGGCTAGTAGGAATGTCCTTCAGAATTGTAGACTTGAAATGCATTTAATGTTTTCCCCTTAAACCTAAATGTGATGACAATATAAAGCACGGGGAACATATCCATGGAGCATCAACATGGTCACTGGTCACTGGTCATTGTCTTTCTGCAATTTGAGGCTTTTCACGTTTTTTGAGTTTCTCATGGTTCAAGAGCTCCTTTATAAATGGAAGAACGTTATGTTCTTCTATCTATAGTGTATGAACAATTGCAATTTTGATAACGTCAACATTATGGTTTTAATTAGTTTATTATAAAATGACTTTTATTAAATACTCAAAGTTATCATAAAAAATTAGTTGAGGAGAAAATGACTAATTTAAAAAGAAACCAAGTAGTGAAAATCCGGTGATCAAATGAAAAATAAGAAAAGAATGATATTTTGACAAAAGAAAAAGAAAGAAACAATATGTCAAAGAAAAGAAAAGTCATCAAAAAGAAAGTTGCAAGTAGAAAGAAAGAAAAAGTTTGAAACAAATTGAATACAAATAAAATGATGCTCTGTCATCTACTAGGAACATTTGAATCTAAGAAAAACTAAGATTTTTGTAGCCCTTACAATCTAAATAAAGACATTAGTGATTCATGACTAATTGTGTACTTTGTGATATTGTTTAGATGAAATGTAAGATTGATTTATAGTTTATGCATTGTCTAAAAATTGAGGAAAACATTAACCAATTGAGTGATACTGATGTTAGGTGATAATATTGACACAAAAGATCTAGAAGGGGAGATTGAATAGACCGATCCCAAAAAAGAAAATTTCAAAAATATTTTAGGTCCCATAAAATAAAATAAAAGATTTTAAAATACACAGAAGCAAAACAAAACACGAAGAGAGCTTGAAAGCTTCTCAATAAATTAATCCAACGAGGGTATTACAATATATCACTAAAGGCACGATTCTCTCAAATACAAATCAATTACAAGATAACCAAAATTGCTTTAAACAAGGCAATTTAAAAACCTTTACATAGAACTTCATTCAGAGCATACTTGGATTTATGATGATCCAATAGGTTTGATGCATCTCATACATAAGCTTATACATTAGATAGTTATAAGCAAGATTTAACCTAAATAACATACAAATGATACAATGATGCAATAACTATAGTAATGAATGCATACAATTAAAGGAGATAAGAGAAGAAAGAAGAGTACACATAGATATATAGTGGTTTGGTGTTCGTCTTCACTTTGCCTACTCCACTGTTCAACATTGATAAAACTATAGGAAACGATCTTCCAGTATTTCATAAGTTTGATACAAGAATTTTGATTACAACGAAATATCACACAATAATTTCCTCTATTTATGCAAATGCTCAAATTGCTAACAAAAACAAGATCCTCAATAATATTGATTTAATAATCTTGTTATCTACAATAATCTGCTCCAAGTCTCCGTATATGGCGATCCACTTTGATCTTATCGATATCTTGTCTGAGAGATTACCATTAGCTAAGCGTTCAACTGAACAACTTTCAACTTCGTCTACAAACAGTCTTTACACGACGTCACTAAAGTTTGACAACTTCCAACTCCGCCTTATGAACAATCAGTACTCGACTTTTCCAAAGTCTTCCATGAAGTATAGTGAAATTTTTTCTCTTGATAGATAACGCACCATCCAAAGTGCATTCAAGAAATGATTCATGTACCAGTTACAAACAACAAATTTCACACAAAAATATTAGATACCCTAATGTGCCACTAGTCTCCCTAAAATACTCAATATTTAGAGATAAGGGTCCACAATACTGGATTAGGACTAAGGGTGAAGATGATGAACAATGTTAAAAGAATCTCTCTCTCTCTCTCTCTCTGTCTCTCTCTCTCTCTCTCTCTCTCTCTCTCTCTCTCTCTCTCTCTCTCTCTCTCTCTCTCTCTCTCACACACACACACACACACACACACACACACACACACACACACACACACACACACACAAACACCCTCTCTCTCTCTCACAGACACAACACTCACTCTCTCATTCATAAGATATTGACAAGGAACTAGACGTTGGTGAATGAAGAACACACACAAAGGTTCTCTCAAGTTTCTGGATAAAATTGATCTTAGTTTTTAATGGCTATCATGAGCTTGATCAAAGTTGAAACATTATAGGATGGATAATCTCACTTTCTTTGGTTTCTCTCAACAAAAAATTATCCAAAACAAAGTGTAACAAAAAGAGATGCAATTTGTCATGAATTGCACTCAAGAAGTTGTTCTTCAAACAAGATAAAGATACAAGGGTGCTAGGAATAGACACACTAGAGAAGGAAAGACAAATTGACAGAAAAAAATGTCTTGCAAAAGTTTCATAATTCTTTCATTATCAAAAGTTCATAATGATAAATCATCTCTTTATTTGAATTTAATAAACAACTATTCAAATCTAATGTGGGAATTTGGAATTTTGAGGATATGATTCGAATCACTATTCAAACTCATGACTTGAGTCAAGTACAAACCACAATTCGAGTCATAATGTGTTGTGATTCGAGTCACTTGTATTTCATGATTTGAATCAAATGTGGTAGACCCAAATTTTTTCTTTCAAAGAAAGTTATGAGTTGTGTTAAGTTAAACTTGTGATTCAAATGAAATCACACATAACCAAAGTCCAATTTTCACAACTTTCATGATTCGAGTCACACAATGTACATGACTCAAATCAACACCTTGATTCAAGTGTTATAACTTGTGATTCAACTAACACTTGATGAAAATAAAAAAATTGACTTGCTAGGCTCAAAAGGAACACACAATAACATGGACCAACATTCTGATTTATTGAATAATTGAAGGAACTAAGGTACAAAACTACATAACCGATGAAAACATAATACTTTATAAAAACATACCATGCATTAACACGTACATCAAGCATAACCATATCAAAGCATAGTCATTCTAAATATGCATTGCATTCAATCACAAAGGCCCGGGAATACTTCGAGAAATCTCAAGGCCTATTTACAAGCCAAATCACCTGCGTAAATCACAAATTCAAACCTTAGCCATTTTTACTCTATTATAAATAGTTACCTCGGTTAAGAAACATACATAACAATTAGAGGTACGACAACCAAAATTACACTAGGCGGCATATCTGAGATTCATATCCATAGCCTAATTATTCAAGTTTCAATTATCAAATCTCACTTTTCAAGTTTCAATTACTAAAAAAGTTCAATAATCAAATTTCAAATTTTCCAACCCACATTATTTATCCCCTAAATTATAACAAATATACAAAATCTACAATACAATTTACTATGACGCGATGGCTGATCATGAGTTGCATTAAATGCCAGAGTATGACAATTAAAAAGCATGTAAGACAACTTACAAAGTGTGCAGTGTCAATTGAAAAAATGTGCAAATCGATGCAGTATAAAATTAAAGTATATCCTAAGAATTGTGAAATTAGATGTGGTTTGATTATAATAATGATATTTGTTAACTATTCTGGCTATTAAGTCTATTGTCTAATATCAATGTAAAGTATTGAATACTTAAAGAGTCTACATTACTATGTTTTCCCTTCTTTCTTCTCTCCTTTCTTTTCCAAACTTTCTCTCTTCTCTTCTTCAAGTTTCCCCTTCTTTTTTCCCTTTCTCTTTTCTTATTATGTTTCTTACTAACAAATGAAAAGGGAAAAAGTGTTTGGTAAAGAAGAAACGGAAATGAGTGATTGATAATAAAAAGTGGTAAAGAAATATTAAAGAAATAGAACATGCAGAAACTAGAATAGGATCCTCTCCTGCTTATGTTTGTCCTGCCATCTCTCCTATACCCAATCCAACGGCTGAGAGACATTTATGTCAGAAAGAGAGAGAAAAAAATTATGACAAAAACATATTTAAGAGGAAAGAGAAAAAACATTTATGGCTTTTATGTTCCACACTTCATTAACATCCGATAAAAACGAATGTTATACGATGATTCATGCTCTTGATGAATATTACAGAAACCATTAAATTCAGAATTACAAGGTATATTATTTTTTCTTCTCTTGCACTGCACCATCACTTGTCTTGTAATAAAAAATTAATTTCCTTCTCAATTTTTCGTAAAACACCGCACCACCACTTCTCCACTGCTTCAGTCTAATTGTGATACTTTATAGGCCTTGTTTATGTTGTTGTTAATTTTTTCTGCATATGAGATGTTTGTGAAAATTCCTCTTAGACTTGTACAAAATCTGATAACTATATACATGTTAAATTCCTTATATATTTGCATCAATCAGTGATATATATTTAAATTATAAGCAGGATCAACTATGCTTGTGAAGTCTCTCTCATTTCCTTCAAATCTCTTCCCAAGGTTCAATTTTTTCTTTACCCAATTTCTCATCTCACTTTCTTTCCTTTTGTTTATTATTTATTTATTTTGTTTTGCCAGTGTTGTTGTTTTTTTCTTTCTGATTGCTGTTACTTTTTCTGCAAGTGAAATTGGAACAAACCAAAGATGGGCACCCTCGAAATCCTCAAATTCTCTCGGTTTTTCTTCAAAGCTTCAATTTTTGCGTAAAAGCGCTCAGAACTCATCTGGGGTTGGTCCTGATGACGCTGTCATAATTGTGGATCACGGGTCACGTCGCAAAGAGTCCAATCTAATGCTTAGTAAGAATAGTTTACTGAAGTTGTATATTCAATTGGGAATGTTTTAGTTTTGATTTTTATAAAGTTGTCTTGTTTTGAATGTTAGATGAATTTGTGGAGATGTTTAGACACAAAACTGGATACAAGATTGTGGAGCCTGCTCACATGGTAATTTTCTTCAATTTGTTGAGTTTTTTCATGTTAAGTATAAAATGACACAATCAAGATAGAATATGAAGTTTGAATGATGGTAGATACATAGATACTTGAGTGTGTGGCTGCTGTTTGGACCTTGAAATCTAGGTTTTTATGTCTCCACAACACGAATGTGATAGTCTGCATCAATCACATTCTTGACGTTGATTTGGTGTGACATCAATTGAAGTTTTTATGTCTTCTGCAATGTGAACAAAGTTGAGGCTACATGAGCTACATCTGACTGCAATTTTCAACGATATCAAGGATCATCGCAATACAACCGATGTCATGATTTGAAATCTTTATAGCCTTTAGAAAACTAGGTGGATAGAACTTTTTTTGTTTTGTTTTGTTTAATCCTAGCTAGCAAGTGACCTAGTCTGGCATTATCGTATGGTTATTATCATTATCCTTGAGCTGTTTGGTTTTGGTACGCACAAGCACAATTAAACATATTTGCCTTCATTTTCTGATCTTGGGAATTGCAGTAACAGAATTTTCTTGGAAAATCTTGCCTCATTTTTGCTTTTGCATTTTATGACATAGGTGTAAAGCCATAGAGCAAATTCTTCATACTCCTTACAGTAATATTTATAAGTTTTTCAGGAACTAGCAGAACCATCAATTGGAGATGCTTTTCAATCTTGCGTTCAGCAAGGGGCACACCGTGTTATTATCAGTCCCTTTTTCCTCGGTCCTGGAAGGCATTGGAGTAAGGTAGAATTACATATAACTGAGTTCTACCTTTCTACAACTTATCAATGTGATTCTTTGACATGTTGGCAGTGTAAAACTTTTTATACCGAAAGTGTACCAAAATCAAACTCATTGATAATATCTCAAAAACTCAAACTTAGTCCTAATTAGGCCACATGATGTGCAGGATATTCCTTCCTTGAGTGCAGAGGCAGCAAAGCAACACCCTGGTGTATCATACATTGTTACTGCGCCCCTTGGACTCCATGAGCTACTTGTGGTAAAGTTTTCTCTTAATTAATTTTTTTTAAGTTAACTCACCTACCCTGAGTTAAATAGCAGTTTTTCTGTTTCAACATTTCACATTCAAGTGCATTTTTGTCATTTTGATTGTTCATTCTTATTCCTAAAAAGTGGCGTATCCCAAATGTTTTTATTTCAAAGTAGTACTTTCTTTGAACCAAATTATGGGTATATTTTGCATCATATCTGTGATTTTGAATTTGAAACAGACCTTGTGTTGCAGGATGTTGTGAATGATAGGATCAATTATTGCTTAAAGCATGTAGCTGGAGAAGCAGATGAGTGTTCAGTTTGTGCTGGGACTGGAAAATGCATACTTAATCAATAATTTATGATACTAAATAGTTGTGTGCCATTTTTAGAAGGTAGGTGGGGATGAGATGAACCTTAAACTCAAAGGAATGTGTAAATTTATTGAGCTGTAACTGCTGCGAAACCACGATTTCAAGCATCAGATTGATTCTAGAATAGTACTACTCTGTGTTTGTTTGGATGGATAATTTTTTGAGCATGTATTTGCAATGTGAATTATGATAACTACCAAGTTTGTATTAATTTAATTCTAGTGTATAACAGATCTTTTAGAAAATCCAAATTGGAAATGTGGAATTGGTTTAAATTCATTTGTTTGACTAATTTACTGACTCAAATATTTATAAAATTGTTTGATAGAGTTCATCAAAATAACTTATGGTATTTTTATAAATTATTTTAATTTATTTGCATGTTTATTTTTAAGATAGTTTATAAAACAATTTTAGTGATTTATTTTATTTTATTTTACTTTTTGCTGTAAAAATAATCTATTTATACATTTTTATATGAAAATGTATATACTATAGATACTTAATTAAATTGTTTAGTCAATCAATAATAAATAAGATTTTCCTTTCATAAGTTCTGTATAAGGAGACAATGTTGTTGGCTAAAAAAATATAAGCACATCCTTGTTGGAATTAAACTCAAAATTTTGAGTAATTCTGAATCAATTTTGATGAACAAAATTCAATTAATTCGATTAAAATCTCTTGTTCTTCACTCTTCATTCAAGTGAATCAACTAATCTTGATTGCAAGATGATTTTGCGCAGCAATTAACAATGGAGAAAAGAAGGAAAATTGAGAAGAAGAAGATCTGGGTTTTTTACGAAATAAGGGGAAGAAGATAAATTTCTCCAGAGTAAACTCTCTCTGCCCACAAACTATGGAAAAATCTTATTCACTTTGCAACTGCAAAATTATTTGAATACAAGTTGTTTATAATATAGTGGTTACTCCCTATTTATAATAAGCTTGTTTGCTCCCTAAGTCAAACCCACAAATACAAAAAGCCCAAAATAACTATTTAGATCTAAATCAAAATCTTGTGTGAAGCAACCTACTTCGACACTTCGACAACTAAACACAACTCGACAGACACTACATATTTCAACACATCCTTGTTTCTGTCGAGCAGTATCTGCTTCGACACAAGGAATTGCAAACTTAACACGCCACCTAATTCATTGTGTCTAAGTTATCTACATTCATCATAGTTCTTAGTCTTCTGAACACTTCGACCTGCACACCCTTTATCATGATATATGCAATCTGATTCTCAGTTCTACAGTGTTCCTAGTTCATCTTCCCTTTTGTTACCTGCTCTCGGAGATAATGGAACCTCATCTCGATGTGCTTGCTTCGACCGTGTGCTATCAGATTCTTTGCCAGATTGATAGTTAACATGTTATCGATCTTCATTATAATTGCTCCATGATCCTTCCTTGTTATCTCTTCGACCAAATTCATCATCCATGTTGTTTGACATGCACTAAGAGAAGCAACTTTGTACTCTACTTCACATAACGACAATGCCACTATTAGTTCTTTTCTGGAACTCTAAGTAACCGGTGTACCACCTAGTATAAACACATAACCAGTTGTGAATCTTCGATCCTCAACATCACTACACTAACTTGAATCGGTGTAACCCACTCGTTTGCATTGTTTTCCTTCATCAGCTGCAAGAAACAAAATGCCTTAGTCAAGAGTTTCTTTGAGATACCTCAGTATCCTCTTCGTTGCTGCTAGGTGTGATACATTTGACTTCTGTATGAATCTATTAACCATACCTACAATGTATGATAGATCATGCCTTGTGTGACAAATGTATCTTAATGAACCAATAAGTCTTATGTACTGGGTTGGATCGATATTATATTCATATAAATCTTTCGACATTTACAGTCTTGGTTCAGCAGGTGTCGAAGTCGAGTTGCATTCTTCTATCTCAAATCTCTTGAGAATTTATCTTGCATATCTTCTTTGATGCATCATTAAACCTCAACCACTCTTGTAGAATTTGATTCCAAGGAAGTATGAAATGTCACCTAGATCAGACATTTCGAATTCCTTGCTAAGATCACCTTTGAAGTCTTTGATTTCTTTCTTGCAACTACCTGTTATCAGCAAGTCATCGATATAGAGGTATAGTATAAACAATTCACTCTTGCTTCTTTTTACATATATTCCATGCTCAGTTGTGCCTTTCACAAATTCCTTCTCCCTTAGAAATTTATCTATCTTCTTATTTCAAGCTCTTAGAGCTTGTTTAAGTCCATACAAGGCTTTATACGACATGTATACCTTTCTCTCTCTTCACCTTATTTCATAAACACAATTGGTTGTGCAACATAAACTTCTTCATCTAAAGGGTCCTTCAAGAATGCACATTTCACGTCCATCTGACATATGTGTCAACTGTTTGTTTCTGTTAGACCAACAACCAACCTGATTGTTTCGATCCTAGAAACAAGTGCAAAAACTTCATTGAAATCGGTTCCTTCTTTCTGAAGAAATCCTTTCGCCACAAGTCTTGCATTGTGTAAAATTAACTCTTCTTAGGGATTCAACTTCACCTTGTATACCCACTTGATATTAATTGCCTTCTTGCCTTAAGGCAGTTCGATAAGTGACCAAGTGTTGTTGACTTCGGTGGACTTCAATTATTCATTCATAGCTTTCACCCACTTCGTATTCTTCAATACCTCAGTTGCATTGACTGGTTTGGCATCTGCATAGAAAGTATAATGTACCAGTTCACCTTCATTACCGACCACATCATCTGATGTAATCACACATTCCTGTAACTTGCAGGCATATGTCTTGTTCTTTGAGGTCTGCTTGGGCCTGCATCATCTCTCACTTTTTCTTGTCGAACTTCTTCTCTTTCGACTTCAGTAGTCGGTTCTTCACAAAAGATTATCACTGAATCCTTGTTTATATTTTCATTCCAATCACATTCTTTAAGCTCATCTATGACCATGTCCCTGCTAATCATTACTTGCTTGTTCACTGGGTCAAATAACTTGTATCCTCCAGTCGAATGATATCCTTTAGGATCATCTGACTCAATTTGTCATCAAGTTTTCTTCTCAATTGATTAGGGACATGTCTATGTGCTATAGATCCAAATACCTTCAGATGACTCAATCTAGGCTTGAAACCAGACTAATATTCTTATGGCATAATTCCTTCTAGCTTCTTCATCGGACATCTATTTAGAATATATGTTGTAGTTGAGACAATTTCTCCCAAAAACTCTTTAGGTAAATACTTGCCTTTCAACATACTTCTCACCATATTAATGATGGTTCAATTATTTCTTTTAGTAGTTTCATTATGATGTTGTTGGCTCTTGAATTCGACACCCACGATATATTGGTCTTATGGGCCAAAAATAGAGCAAATAAAGCCAAGCTGGAGAATTCTTCGATGGATGGAAAAAACTTAGAGAAAATATCTGAGTTACAAATTGGTCTTCGACCAGGCATCACCAACAAGCCTTCGATTGGAAAGGTCCTGTGACCTTCGACCAGAAGAACAAACCCTCGTGTCAGCACTAAAGACGAAGGATATTTGAATTTGAAGATTGGAGGGAAATGCAGTTCGCCAACAGTTAAGGGAAAAGCGACGTGGCAGGAAGATAGAGGTCGAGGGACATGCAAAAGACACTTGTCTTTATCCTAGAGCAAAGCCACCCCTCGACAGTTACGTAATTTTAGTATAAAAATAGGAAGTCTGTGTAGTTTTTCAGGGTGTTCAACCTATTGTGCCTGTTACTCAATATTATTCAAGTACCCGTTGTGTGTGAAAGAATAACTGAGAATGTACGTTGGAAACACCATTTTTTATTAATAAAGTCTTTTTTACATTGCTTTGATCTTCTTTTGCAAAGTTTACGTTTCCTGCATCTTTACCTGCACTTCTATTTACTTTCTTATTTTCCAAAACCACAAACACCATATCTCTGGTCGAACGTGCGTTCTTCCTAGATATCAACTTTTGCATCAAACCATCATAAAAGTTAGCATATGTTCTGGGATCAATCTGATCGATCCCGTGAGTAACCAAAAGGACTTTCCTTTTTGGAGGATCAGCGGTTGTTTACCATCTGTTTGTTCATGTTATTGCTTTCCTTTTATACGTATACAGCGTTGCATGTTATTAAGAAGTGGTAGAATAACCAACGAATGTACTGTTAGAAAGAGAAATAGAGAAGTAGAATGGCTAATGAGTTAAATCATGGAGAAATACCTCCACCAAATACTTCTGGAACGGAGGTTATAACTACCGTTGGAGGAAATATCTCAACTTTTGTTGATTCAGTACCAACGTTAACCACGAATCAAATAGGACCCATACTTTCGTATGTAGGTCCTAGAGGTTCATTAGGAACACCCCCACCAAGGGCAAATCCAGGATCTCGACCGTACGTTCCCCCAGGATTTTCGATAACCTGGATGGGCTGAGAACAGCCATATGGCATACCAACCACTGAAATGGCTAGCCTTATGAACACTGCGTCTACTTTTTCAGAACCTTTGGTGAGTACGTCATCGCTGAAGGGTGAGAAAACACTTAGAAGGGGGGGTTGAATAATTTTTTCTTTTTCTTACTAGCTCAACAATAATGGAAAGACACAATTATTTTTATCCTGGTTCATTTGAACTCAAACTACTCCAGTCCATCCTCCAAGGTGATTTCGCTTTTCTCAACAAGGACTTAATTCACTATAATCAAACAGATTACAATCACACAACCAAACTATTGTGACTACCAATTCAAAGCACAAGTAAACTTACAAGTGACTAACACCACTAAGACTCAAACTAGTCCTAGCCTTCTTGAGAAATCTGACCAAGCTTGGTCTCTCAAGGAACAAATACAAGAATTAAATCTTTACAATTAGTGAAATAAATTGCTTCTTAGAAAGCTATATCACAAACTGTGATTTATCACTAAGATAAGTTTAGCACTAGAGAAAATAACAAAGTGTTTGTGAGCAGCG